AGATGAAGACCCTTTTTGATGGACTTTACTGACGCACCTGTCTGGGAATGTTGAGAGACATCCTCACACGTTTGACATTCCCGAGGTTGGCTGGTTTCATCTTGAAAACCTCATTTTCAATGTATCCCCAGAGAAAGAAGCCCAAAGGTGACTAATCAGGCAACTAGACGCCCAGTCCACTGGTTGAGAAAGGATTCGTCAATGAATTTACAGGCCAGTGAAAAAAAAACTGCCGTGGGGCTCCATACTGTTTGAACCACATTTTTCTTTCAGTTTAGTCAGTTGCAACTTTGAAAAAATCTTGGTGACGAGGCCCTTGAAAACATACTTCTGTATTTCTTTCCAGTAAGATCTCTGTTTATGAAGTAATAAGCATCGATATGGCTGTTATAAATACAACACCATATGTTCGCTGACCACTTTGTGTTTACTTACACTAGCAAAGCTAGGGGGGGTTTCGATTGCACCATTAATGTGCATTGTGTAAGTTGACACTGCATCTCTATGAAATAAAACCTGGTTGGCCACAAGCACTTTGTTAAGAAATTAAATTCACATATTCATAAAACTTAATGAGGCACCAGTTTCAGAAACCGAGGTGTTTTTGTAAGTTGCTTGGTCTCTTGATGAAGCTGCACATGTTACGGGTGACAGCTGTGTCTTGAGAGACACCCCCAAACTTAAGCTGGAGTCGCTCAATATGTGCTGGTAGTTTCCCTGATTCTTGCTTCCTACCTGACGGCGACGTATGCCAGCACATTGATGTCAAAGTCATAAATTGCACTTGCTTGTCACTTCCTTTTCTGTCGATAGACTAATCTTGTGGTCCCAAGTCAACCAAATATGAATACGAATATGGGGCAAGCTGACAGACAGAGGCCAGGATGTTGAGCAGCGTACAGATGAATGCCAGCTCTGTTTTCTTCTGTGCGCTCACATAAGCCAGCACAATGTCTACTTTCTTGGTAACGGAATAATGCACCTGTACTGGCATAGTCATTTGCACAATTTTAAAGAGACACTAAAGAGCAAAACTATTTTTGCGTATTAGTGAAGTAGAATTTCACAATCTTGAAACCACCGATCTTCTGGGGAAACGATGCTTAGTAAGCAAGAAAATTTGCAAAAAGAAAATGCGGGTGGCAATGCCATCTTGCGATTACCACCCCGAACTTTATGATGTGAAAAGTTTTGAAGGCATCTGCTGGGTCCTATGTAGCTTCCAATCGATAAAAATGAAGTACATTGTAGACTTTGAGCGCCATAGGCTTAGCATACGAAGTTTCAAAAAATTTTGTTGAGCAAATGCAACAAAAATAGCGAAAATACATTTGAAACGTGTGACGTCATGTGCGGAGATTGAGGCGCGAAATTTTAAAATGAAACTTTAACCTTGATTTTCTCTGCTAATGATAAACTTGTGATAACGAAACATATGGCATTAGAGCTCTCAAAGTGCAGTTCGTCAATCTAAACCAAGATATTGTTCCTATTTAGTGTCTTTTTAATGCTGCAGTATCACAACTGAGTCATTGATCCACACCAGTGGTTCTACAAAGGTTATTTGCATTCATATATCCAAAACAAGCATGTTAAAGGGAAATGTCAATGCATTTATACAACTGCCACCCCAAGAATGACTAACAAAGTGCAGCCACTGTCATGGAAGCCTTCCTTGCTCCACAAACAAACCTTTTTTTTTTTGTCTAATTCACTTCCTTACACACAATTATCTTAAAAGAGCTGTAGCTCTTTTAGTGAATGGATTGAAACAATTTGAAGTGAGTGCTGCAGCAACTGCGACACGTCGTCAAGGGGGTGCACTATATTTGAAGGACACCATGTGTGCAGAGTTTGTTTTATGTGCAAAAAAAAAAATACTTGATATTCATAGGCTTCAGGGCTTTACAGAATGACTTTTCTTGCTTCAGAAAACTGATGGGGCATCGTCACTTCCATGACTAACACCAGATGTCTCTAATTAAGAAGTTCATGAACCTGCCACGATCGTGTAGAGATTATGGTACTAGAATGCTGAACTGAAGGTAGCAGGATTGAATCCCACCAGCAGCAGCCACATTTTGATGGAGGTGAAATGCTTGAAGCTCATGTACTTAGATTTAGGTGCATGTTAAAGAACACCAGAGGGTCAAAAGTTTCTAATCTCACGACTACGGTGGCCCTCATAATTAAATTGTGGTATTGAGACAGAAAACATGTACAGTTGGTTTAAAAAGTTCATTAAGCAATTTGCATGTTTCTCACAACTGCTGATGTCCACTGAACCTGACAGCTTGCTTGTTCAGAGAATTCTTATATTTCTTGAAAACTTTATCTTTAGAAAAGTTTTGAAGCGTTTGCTGAAACACCATGTGTTTTTCTAAATGGAGGTTATTTCAAGAAATGTGTCTGCTATTATTGAAAAATTACAGATGGAAGGTATCTGCATGTTACCTAAGAAAACTTGTTGTTGGGCTAGTTGGTAGAGCATTCCGAAAAGTTGATTCGAGCTCGAAAACTTGACACGATCACTCACACACGCACACATGTTTGATGCATGGGTGTGTGCATGTGTGCGTGATCGTGTCAAGTTTTGACGCTCGAATTAACTTTTCGGAATGCATGCTACCTGCTGCGTTCTCTCTACTGTGGCACAAGGCATATTCAGATATGTACAAATAATAATTACAACAGTAATTAGAGAAGTTAATGCAATTAACTTTTCAGCCTGTGGAAATAAGCAGATGAGTCAAATGGGCGAATTGAAGTACTTCTTGTGAAGTGCATAGCCACTTTGAAATTTTCAAAAGGTGGCCAGAGGTAATTATTGCGGGGTGATGAAAGATGGCTAATTTAAAAAGCAACACCGAAACTGACGCACCGAACAGCGCATCTACCATTAATTCCTAAAGTGCTCTCAGTGACGACGCGGTTTTTCTCGTCGTTATCAACCATCAATATACATACTTTGTTTCGTGACTTCATTTCGAGACAGTGCTTTCCTGCCGCATGGTCGTTTATTGATGCTCACTGATCGTCCTTCCTCTATGCGAGGGAAACACGGTCATCATTGAGGGCATTTTCGGAGTGATGCACTGCTGTAGGCGGCTGGACTATTGCTGTCCTGTCTTGGGGGAGTAGATAAGATGGTTGGCCTAAGCAAGCAACAAAAGGAGAACAAAAAGGAACAGAGAGTAATTGTCACTTCTATACAATGCACATGTGAAGTTCACGTTTTAATCCTAAAATATGTAGTTTTAATATTATAGTTTACATGGGTGAGATAATAATTTGGCGAGTTGGGTTTGCATAACTTTCCTTCCATTTGTGCTGAGGTGATGTTCTAACAAGAAGAATCATCCTCACAAAGACTGTCAAATTTGCAAGCTGTTTTGAAAGGTTTACCTTTCTGTCGTGCATTTCCCGAAAGTGGAGGCAAAAGCATGATAAAAAAGTAATCCGTAAAATTGCAGGCAGACGAGTGATAAAAAGTAATCCGTAAAAGTAAATGCAAAAATGTGATAAAAATGTGATTCTAACGAAACTATAATAAGAAAAAAAAAGAAAGAATCAACAAAAATTAAAGCCTGTGACGTTGCTCTACAACTTCCTGCATGAGCAGAAAATTTGTTTTTATTGCTGCTTATCAGTGTTTAAACCTAGAAGCAGCCAGCTATTGTGAATTGCGATGGTTTTTCAAGGTTCTAATGCAGTTTTGTTCTTGCAGAGCTTGCACAGTGCTTGCATTGCAGTGCAGTTGATTAAGGGGTGGGGGTGTAGCATACCTTATTTTAGTACTGCTAGAAAGATCCACGTGAAACTTTTCGCTTAAATTTTTTGTATAATAAGCTGGTTTAGCTACTAGTTCGAGCTGTTTGACGTTTACATAAATTCTCCTTATCATTTCTGCTACTTCTGTTTGTTCATTCTTGCTAGGTCTTTTATAAAAAGAATACAGAGTTAATGCATAGTATTAGTGTTATGTCAATACAAGTATCAGCTTTTGCTTAGGCAAATGTTGAACTCTTCACAGCATGGTGGTCAGCCCAGGTGACCACCTTTTTTTCATTTTTTCTTCTTGAAACAAGTGATAGATTTTTAATCGTGCATATTTTAAAGCTTTCAGTAATCTGACAGAGGTGACCTACTTTGGTTGGGCCTAAATAAGACATGTTACACTTGCTTTCTACTGGCTGCCCTCATCCTCAAGGCGCGTAGACTGTGTACTCGAGATAGTTTTATACATATAAAAATATGTGCTGTTTTTATAATGTTGATAGTGCAGGAAACCATTTTGTATAAGTAGCTATTGCTAAGGCCTGTAAAAATGAAGGGCTGTTCTTTTACTGAAAGTGGCCAGTAGCCTCCTGCTGCATGGACCACCTCAGACCACCTCATATCTTTTGAACTGAAATGGCCAATTTTCTGTTTCTTGTGAGTAAATCAATTGCGGCAAAAGATATTGCCTTTTTTTCCCAATAAAACTCTGTTTCTCGCCAAAAATGGAGTTCTGCACATGAAAGGGTTGAAGCATTCTAGTGTCCTTCATATAAGTATGCGAGAAAGGGGAATATTTTAAAAAGTTGTCATAGGTGGCTAATAGATTTATGTCATAGTATGTATCCTTTTATTTCTCGTACCACTTTTTCTTCCTTTCCACTTATACGGACATTTTGTTTTGTGAAAACTAACTTTTTGCATTCTTGGTCTATATCGATAAATGCCAGTTAAAGGGGATTTATGTAATATTTAGCACTCCTCTTCTTTTGATCCTATTCATTTGACCAGCAACTTGTTTCATTGCACAAGTAAAGAAGCAAGTAAATGTAAAATACATACTTGAAGCTGGGTGACATCCACACTGGCATGTCAAAAAACGTTTTTGCAATAACTTGCCATACTTTTTAAAATAAAGTTGCTTCCTCTTCCTGTAATGTAAGGCTTAATTTTGCTAGTCCTTACCTTGTCACCAATTTATTTACTTCTTTTTATCTTTCCAGGCAAAAAACATCCCATTCCCAGCCATTACAAGCAATTATCCTCCCAGTGGCTACCCAAGTGATTCTAGTTATCCCGGACCCAAATAAGAAGACTGCTGGTTCAAAGGATACTCTTGTGCAGAACACTACGAAAGCGCCTTCACAATGGCGAAGCATTGTTCCCAAGTCAAATCATCTCAGTGACTTGCCTTCCTGTGGACTAGACACAAATACTAGACGCTTATCTCTCAGAAAAGTACATCAAAGTTCCCAAACCACTGTGTCCTGCAGGTGTAAGCGTACAAAGGATTCATGCATTCAAGCTTGCAGTAATGATGGTTCTAGGAGGGATGCATCAGAGTTTGTTAACCTTCTACCAAAGGCATGCAAGCGCTCCAGAGCCATGAAAGCAACTGTGCACACGCAAACCATCAACTCTGATGTTCAGCATAGGAGTTTGCAGCCCTTTCTGTTTAAAGGGGTCAACAAGAAAACTCTTGAGATCTGCAGCATTCAAACTCAGACAACTGAAAGTGCTTTTACGGATAAGGCCCAAAAGGCACACATGAAGAGTCCCTGCTTGAGGCCAGAGCCAGATAAATTGGACAAGGAAATTGCCACTAGTGAGCTGTTGTGCGATTTTGACCAGCTATTGTTCAATGGTTGTGCAGCTGCTGCCAAGGAGTGGATGGACTACTTCTCCAGGAGCTCTTCGTCTACGCAAACTCTGGAGCCTGATGCACTTCTGAAAGACTTGAGTAGGTCTTGCTCACCTTCCGGCTCCCCCATTTTAGATGGATCAAGGCACAATCTTGGTCAAATGGAGCTATCAGATGTCCCGCTTCAGCAGCATTGGAGCATAATTTCAGAAAAACCAACTATGATGCCTGATTTAGATTCAATCTGTGAGTCTGAGGAGACTCGTTGCTTGGAGGACAGCTTACGGGATGTCAATCACATCTTGTCATCTCACACACAGACAGACAATCATTTTGATAGCCTTCTTATTGAAAACATGCAACAAACTGCTGCTCAAACAGATTTTCCACCTTCTTTGCACACTGAGACGCAAACTAATGAAGATCTATCTTTTGAAGAAGGCACAGATGTACTGCATATGGAAACTCAGACATCAAAGTTTTTGTTTTGCGACTTTGAGAGTGTTGATATTGAGACACAGACACCATGGAAAAACGTAGATTTTAATTTAGATGACTTCGTGGTCGACTCCAGTTTTATTGAGAAAAAAGATGCGGAATCTCAGATCGAATACCATCAATTTCTCGCCTCATGGCTTTGCATGAAAATTCCAGATGGGGAGGGCTTTAAGGACTCCAACAACATGCACACTCAAACTAGTGGACTAATTTAGAAACTTCAATTGCACTCAGTCAGCTGTGAGCTTTGGTGTTTTTTGGGTACCGAGGCTATATCTTCTTTGTGGTAGCAGTTCATTAGGGAAGCAAAGTGAAACAGCAACGGGAAATGGAATGAGCATTTTCCAGACCATTTAGAACTCTTGAACAAGTCGAGCATAAGAGGAGAACCTCACACGTGATGTCTTTTGGCACCGTTTTCCTAGGGCGACAGAAAGTGAGCAGTGTGTCGGGTCGCCCCATTTTCTGTTTTGCTTACAAACATCTTCACAGGCCAAGATATGAATTGCTAAGAATTAGTAAGTGAAAATAAGCCAGCATTGAGGTTAGCGACTCGCCTGAGTCAGAATGCTTCGTTTCGCTTTGCTAAGCAGGTTCCGCGCAATAGCTCTTCATACCAAGCAATCGGGATGCTACCTGCGCGCCGCGAACTTTTCCTATCCTACCTCTAGCGCTTGCCGTGACAAAACATTGTAGCGGTACTGGCAACTCTGCTCATAGGGCTGCCATGGATGGCATTGTTCATCATAATGACATTCAAAACTTAATTATGTGTGCGTTTATTGAGATGTCTAAAAAATTATTGGAGGGGGTTTAGGATCCTTCAAAAACATACAGGGAAAAAACGAAGAAAAAATGAAAGCAATTAAGTGTGTGGCTCGAAAGCGAGGTTGTTAAAGTGCACAAAGAGAGAAAGAGTAGAATTCACTTCAGTATACATATATATATTGCTACTATACACCAAGCAATGCTTCTGCTGTTTTTCCAGCTGCTGCCCGTTTTCTCACTGCCTACGAGTTTTCGCCTGCCTGGCTTTCCTCTCCTTCCTGTAACGCATTGACGTAGGCAGTGGGGGGGGAGGGTCTAAGCACCTGGATTTTTTATATTATTGTTTTCTATATTTATACATTACATGCACACAAGCGCATACGCAAACATATTGTTGCGGATGTATTTACTACTTTACAGTAGAAAAATAGTCCAGCAGTCAAGATGGCGGCTGTTGTATTTTTCGAACACCAACACGTCGTCGTCCTCTTCTTCGCATAACCCCGCATAGAGATAGCCGGAACCCTGCAACGATATTTTTGGGGAGGGATGGGAGTAGGGAGATACAAAACCTGCGTCTTCCTCTCCAAAAAAAGAACCTCGGCTGTGTTCCTATTGCAACAGAATCGAAAGTTGGGCTAGTTGGATATGCATGGTATTACTGTCAGTTCAAGCGCACGAATAATCGGAAAGGAAAAGAGGACAAGCGCCTTTTCACAATTAAACTATTTATTACAAAGGGAAGAATATATAAACAGGCAAACAAAATTGTAATAAATCCCGTTGTAATAAATCGCTTAGTTGCGAAAAAGCGCTTGTCCTCTCTTCCATTCTGATTAATCGTGCACTTGAACTGACAGTTATACCATGTGTTCCTATTGTAAATATTCCGTAAAAGCTGCCCTTGTACGTGCTAAGTACGGGGACACACGCGACAAAGCGTCAATTACCTCTAAGCAGCTGCTATCGCCAGTTGTATTCGGCGACACCGTTAAGAGATCGCCGCAGCTCTGCCGCTACGAGGGTGCAGGTTTGATACCTGAGCATAGCAGGCAACATTGGTTGGTGGTGACAAAATGCAACAAACAGTCATTATCGGGGCGAGTTCGAATTGAAATAACACACATATAGCGTCTCGTTAGGCAGTTCAGGGAAAGGTGTAGCATGTAGTTAGTATTTAGGACTACGCAAATGACGAGAAACAGGCCACATAAAGTGCAACGCTGTCTTTCTGGCACGGATCTCCCGCCATGTGCGCTGTTTTCAATCCGACGTATGCCCTATCAACTAGTCTAAGCTTTTACTTTGGCCGGGAGGTGAACCCTTGAAATATCAAGACGTTCAGCCAGGAATGTTCCTGCAGCCAACGTTTCGACAAAAGAAACCTTTACTTTAGCCTGAAAGTGAAAGCTTGAAATGTTAAGACGTTCAGCCTGGAATGTTGCGGCAGCCGACTTTCGACTTTAGGAGGTGAACACTTTAAGTGTCAAGACCTTCAGCTAGGAGTGTTGTGGCAGCCAACGTTCCGACAAAAGAAACCTTTACTTTAGCCTGAAAGTGAAAGCTTGAAATGTTAAGACGTTCAGCCTGGAATGTTGCGGCAGCCGACTTTCGACTTTAGGAGGTGAACACTTTAAGTGTCAAGACCTTCAGCTAGGAGTGCTGTGGCAGCCAACGTTCCGACAAATAGGCTTGAAATTTTAAGACGTTCCGCCACCGCGAATTGTTACGAATAAGAGGCCCCAATAGTCTCTCGGGTAGCGTGTCGCGAGGGCCAACGCCGGGTAGGGAGCATCCAGGCTGGGGCAAAGCAAAAGGCAGCCAGCAGAAAACAATGTTTACATTTACAATGTATGTACAGAAGGTGGACGAAAAAGCCGCCCGACGCTAGATGCGCTGGCCTTTTATAGGCGCCGGAGGAGGAGGCGGCAACCCCGCTGTAAGATGCGCGCAGCGTCTCTGATGGACGCTTCCGTTGTCTGTAAAAGATGCGTCGAGTATATCTTCGAAAGCACCCAGTGTCCTTGATGGACGCACACAGTGTCGGCAGGTGGGTCATGCGGCACTTTTGCTGGCAGTCTGGTGGCTCCAGGTACAGTTTTATGGGAGCCTTTAAAGTAATGGGTCGCAGCACACCCGTGACAGAATGTTCCGGCAGCCAACGTTTCGACAAAAGAAGTTCTACTTCAGCCGGAAGGTGGAGGCTTGAAATGTCGAAACGTTCAGCTAAGAATGTTGTGGATAGGGAACTTGTGTTTCTGGTAGAAAGTGTTGTTTTTTTTCGGTGCCTAATTGTCGTGGAACATGTGACGAAGCGCGGAGAACTAACACCAGTCATATGGCATAATGTTCCACAATGCTGATCTTCCCGACTAGCCTGTCTTTTCTTTATTTTTTTTTTTTTTTTGCCTTGGTAAATACATGGATGGATGTGGCTGTATTCTTTAGATCGGGCGGCGGCTAACGCCACGTAGCCATAATACTTAGTGAGCTAACCACTAGATTTATCTTTTTTTTTTTCCTTTAAATGGTGAAATTGAGGACTGGTACTTTGCAGTGACGGGTTTAATTTTCACTCGTGCCTTGACTTTAGCCACCAATCGGATAACCTTCTTGCAGTTAAATCTACCCGCCTAAAGTCTATTTTGCCCTCCCTGTCCCTAAACCCCAGTGCTTTGAAAAACTCTGCGCCATCATCCTGAACTATAGGGTGAAGCCCCTTACAGAACATTACCAAGTGATCGGCAGTTTTCCTCCTCCTCTCCGCATGCACTGCATACAGTGGATGCGGAGGGACTGCCCTTCGTATTTGGCCTGATATGTCTTGGTTGGCAATACTCCCGTCCTGGCCTCAAACAGTAGAGAACTACCCGAGTATGATCATAGATCCTTTCCTTGGCAATTTCCTGCTGAAAAGTATGATAGATCTCTAGTGCGGACTTCTTAATCATGCCAATTCTCTTCGTGTCAGTCTCCGTTTCCTTCACTTTCTTCTTAACAGATAGTTTTTTTTTTTTTTTTTTTTTGGTTTGGCTACCTGCTGTTTTCCAAGTATTTACCAGTCAATTTCCTGGTTCGCTTCCTCCATTTTGTATCGACATTCTTCATGTACAAGTACACTCTTAAAAAAAAGTTAGTAAAAAGGTAGCAGCTGCAAGCAAGTAGGTAGTAACTGCAGCGGTTGCTACCTTTCTTCGACAGTTACTGTTACTACCCTTTCGCTACTTGTTTACTACCCACGTTAGTAAACAGTAACTGAAACGAAATAGGTAGTAACTGCAGCCGTTACAACCTTTCATGCACCGTTACTACCTCTTTGCTACCCGGCTTTTGACTATCTAATCCAAAATAGTGTGTGAATGCTATTCTGATAATTTATGAGAGGAATAGCCTCGACGTATTATCATTAAACTGAAAAATGACGCAGACGGTATTTATAGATCAAGAAAATATATTTTGTTTCAAATTATGCAACCGAGATATGTAAACGTCATTCTGATATTGTCGAAACGGAGAAGTACAAGTTAACGAACCATAAGCAAGTGCTACATGCATTGTAATAGACAATTACAACAAACTTAGTAAATACTGCACATATTAACAAGACCGGCAGATCAAAATAACCAGACAGTCACATATAGCCTTGAGGGCAGTCACAGTTAATCCACTGTGGCGTGTCTCCAAATAATATCATTGTTTTGGCACGTCAAACCCCCAAAACGATTATTACTTTTAAGCGCTGATATATTAGTCCTGTGAAGCATTAAAATTCACTGGGAAGGAATTCGGTACTTTGTTGGCCACTGTACATAATGCCTTTTTATGGCCTTTTTATAATGAATAAATATAACAATTTTCTATAAGTGAGGCTTATTTGAAAGTCTTGTGCTACGTCACCAAACAAACGTAACCAGGTAGTGTATTATAGTGCTAACAATTCATATTTGTTAAAATTCATCCTAAAACGGAAGTGCTCCCATGTGCCAGGTATGCCCCTGCGAAGTAGGGGCTATATATACCCCACGCTTACTTCTTTCTACAAGTATACATAAAAAATAGTGAACTTGTTTGGTCTATGTATTCTTCGCATTCATGGCACACCCCGCTTCTTACCTGAATTTGTGTAGTTATAAGACATTGATTAGCCAACATTACCAGTGGAGAAATAATATGCCAAAATGAATGAACTGGGCAGTATCGGTTACTACTTTTTTTTCTTGAAACCTTCAAAGTTACTACCCATAGGTGGTAACAGCTAGGGCAGTAACAGTTACTAACTCCTGATAGTAACATCAGAGGTAGTAACCCTTACCACCCTTGCAGTTACTAACTGCACTTACTACCAGAGTTGTAACATATGTGACAAACCATTACTACCCCAAAGTTAGCAAGTACTACCACCTTTTTTCTAAGAGTGTAGCTGAAAACCTTCCTAGCCCAACGCTCCTCCCCCATTTCTCTCAATCGCTTCTCAAATTTTATCTTGCTGCTAGTTCCCCTGCCCTCAAATGATGTCCATCCCATATCACCTTGTCCTCCCTGATTTGGTGTATTCCAGTGAGCTCCTAAAGCAAGCCTACCTATTCCACATTGCTTAATTTCTAATCTTGCTTGAACTTCTGATCTCAAGCACAACGCCGCATTGCCAAACGTCAGCCTAGGAACCATGAACCCTTCCATATTCCTCTCACAACATCATACCTATTGTAATTCCACAGTGCCCTATTTTTCATTCCTGCTGCATTCCTGTTACCTTTAGTCGTCACGTATATTTCGTGTTCCCTTAGGTACTCGGTCCCATTGCTTATCCATACGCCCAGATATTTGTATTTATCTGTTATCTCTAGCGTGACCTCCTGTATTCTAAGCTCACTACCTTCGTTATCATTAAAAATCATGACTGCCGATTTCTCCTTACTGAATCTAAAATCTAACCTATCTCCCTCATTACCGCAGATGTCCATCAGTCTCTGCAAATCTTCCTTGTTGTCGGCCATTAGCACTATGTCATCTGCGTACACTAATGCTGGTAGTGCCTGATCAATGAGTTTTCCTTGTTTGACTAAAGAAAGGTTGAAGCCAAGTCCACTTCCCTCTGATTTGGCCTCTAATCCTTGTAGGTATGTCATGAATAACAAGGGTCAAGCCTCGCTTGGAAACGCCCTCTTGAGGGTCTTTATTATTATTATTATTATTAATATTATTATTATTATTGTTGTTGTTGTTTTGCGAAGATATGCAGCATTTTGTAACCTGCCGTATAGCAATGTCGTATGTATACTACCAGCAGCAAAATAAACAATGTCCTAATGAGGTATATGTGTGTGTGCATTTATAGCGCCCTTAGGGAGGTGCATCTCCTATACGGAGAAAAGCCGAGAACCAATCCACCTGTGCACGCACTCGAAAGCAGTTCAAGAGGCGGGGGCTA